AATTTCATATACATTCATATTACTCTTAAACAATGCTATGAATACACTTATAATGGAATTAAATTCACTTAGCAACACCAATATGTTATGTATCCATGTGTTTATGGATATATTCATGATCATTCATATCTATCTATCTATCTATCTATCTATCTATCTATCTATCTATCTATCTATCTATCTATCTATCTATCTATCTATCTATCTATCTATCTATCTATCTATCTATCTATCTATCTATCTATCTGAATTCACTTAGTATTGTTTGTTTGAATCTTCCCATTGATGTTTAGGACTGTAACTGGTCAGTCTCTAATTGGTATATGTGTATACTGTGCGTATTGCCTCGATATAGCCTTAATTCACAAGCATTATAAGCAAAGATGGATAGTGGCTAGCAGTGGAATACAGGACGCGCATATCTATCTATCTATTTATCTTTGGTCAATTCGATCTCTTTTATGTTTATTGTTTTAATGCATATTGTTGAAGGATTTGAACCAAGACGGAAAAAAGAAACTAATTTTACTTGTTTGGGCTTATATTTTTACACTGTTGATGTAAAGACTTGTGTATCCTAAGCACTCTTAATCGATGTTGTCAAGTAGTCATAATCTTTTTCTTTTGGTGCCTCCAAATGCTCTGGTACGGCCGAGAATGGGGAGAGTCCGCTATCCCTCTCCAAATACTCTCACATGGCCACGCGTATATAGCCCCTACCAGGGAAGTCCTACTCACTGCCTTCTCACAGTGGCATTACTGTTGTTTACGAAATTGAGAGGACGAAGAGCGAATGTCTGACGCTTTACCCAGGTTGGTGGACACTCTCCGTATCCATCTAGGGAAGTTGGGAAACCCTGATTCCAAACCAATGGTGCACATCGACTCCAGCATCCTGAGGGAACAAATGGCGCATGAATCAATCGTTGGTCACCGGCTACCATGAGGCTTCATCTCCTCACGATGCTCTACTGCCTTGTGGATCAGATCTTCAGGCCAAAAGCTCCGGGTGTGGTCCCCTTAAGAAAATCATCTGCTTCGGTTTGGGCACCTGAGCAGTATCCCAGCCCACACACAAGTCGAATGATTCATCCAGCGCATATCTATTTGGTGCCACCTTGTACCAATATTTATATGTTCAAATAAATAAAAATAAATACCAATAAAATCTATGTAAAATAGAACTCAGTTTAATTAAACACTAATTAACACCTAATACTATCATAATATGCTCCCTTTATAGAAATAGATTTATTACAATGGTAACCTACATACATTTCTCCGGCCATTCATTAGTTAACCATATGGAACTTAAAAAAATTGAAGATATTTGATTAGTTGCCATGGAATTCTCATGAAATAGTTAACTTTCAATGATTAAGTTACAGAGTTGGACCCTTGCTTACGATAATATTAGTCTTGTTAGAGGTATCCCGACCGTTGCTGTTACCTTGATGTGGTGGTCGGGCTTGCCTATCGTGATGAACCAATTGAGCTATACTGACTGGAACAATCGTTCCTGAAGATCATATCATACCAGATAGGTCAGTTGAAGAGTGGTAAGACTAGAAGCAACGAACCTAAGGTCCGAAAGCGAAGTCGTACTTCTGACTGTACAGAGGTATGACGTCAGTAAAGTGTTTCCTTCAGACAACCAGCATAACAACGATGCTGCCTTACCACTAATTAAAGAATATTCATTAACACATAATACTATCATAATATGTTCATTTTATAGAAATGGATTTATTTCAATAGTAAACTACATACTTTAAAGCCATAAAAATGCTTTTTTTCCAGTCAATCATTAATTAACCATATGGAACTTGACATAGAATTTTCATGAAATAGTTAACTTTCAATGATTAAGTTACAGAGTTGATAGAAAACCAATGAAAACTTGTTTATAATTGTTCTGTATATACATAATCATGTTATGTAATCAAAGTTGTTTTATTTATGAAGTTAGAAAAAGAATCATACCGATCATTGATAGTCAGTCAGTCAGCTACAATGTAGGAGCAGGCACATTTATGCATTGGTCCAAGTTGCCATACCTCGTTAGCACAACAAGATCAACATCGGATTCATAGAAGTAGTTAATTTAGTGGTGGTAGTATATAAAAGAAAGGTTGTATATAAGGATATAGTATAGGAAGGAAGGAAGAAAGAAAGATATGAAGCAATTTTAATCTCAAGGTTTAAGGGAAGATAAAGAGTGTGTATACCTACGCCATTGTGATCGATTCTGAGCCATGTCACATAGAGTCTCCAACCATTGGTTACGATAGTCACGTGGACCCCAACCAGGTAGTCTGCATCTACCAACATGGCTCAGACTAGAAGTTAGTGACTTCACAGACTGATGCCATGTTTTGATTTGGCCGCCCCTAACTCTCTTCCAACCATCCCCTACACTAGTCAGCATAGCGCGTCTTGGTAATCGGTGTTCAGGCATACACGTGGCCTAACCATTTCAGTCGATGGAGATTCATCACCTCATCAACTGATTTACCATCATTTCCCAATACCCTGCGTCGAACCTCACTATTATTTACCCGGTTATCCCAGCAGATGTGAGCAATATTTCTAAGGCATCTGTGGTCAAATACTAGTAACTTACGAGTATCTTCTACTCTTAATTGCCGTAAAGTAGAACAGAACGAACTGCTGCGCAATATACTAGTCCCTTAATTGATAGACGGATATCTCGTCTTCGCCATAGGTGACGTAAGTTGATATAAGTTAAACATTCAACTTTAGGATAGAAAAGTCAGTTTACAAACAGAATTTCATCTCAACTAAGATTTACCAGCTGAATGTACTTGAAACCTAGAGTTGATTTCTACCGAGTATCTTTTGCTTCAAATGCCTAAAGCGTTATCCATCTAGCTAATGAATCCAAATAGCCACTTATATATACAACTGGTATGAATTTTAAATAGGAATAATATATTTGTAAAATCTCAGCGAATGAATCGAATATATTCGATAATTTTGATGTTTGATTATAATTCCTTGAAAAAGCTTGGACCAGATTGCCAGGCGAAACGTTGGATTTAATTTAAAAATTCATTCGCTGAGATTTTACAAATATATTATTCCTATTTAATGTCTTACTTCAACTCGGCGCTCAAATACTGTGAAACTATTCGTTCTAATTTAGACGAGAGTTCTTATATGGTATGAATTTTGCTTTAATTTGTAATGGTTTGAACGAAACTCACATCCCAGATTCCAATGCTAACCAAATTATATCTATTCTATGTAAACTTATGATATGATAGTTAATAGCAAGGTGATCTGTACAGGATGTACATAGGTCAACTAAGAGTGATCAAAACTCAATCATAAATATCAACATAGGGATAACTCAAAAGTAATTTTAAATCAGTTCATTAAATCAGTTCAACAAAATTCACTCATGATTTCAACTTTAAAATATACTGAAATCTCCACAAATCCCCTTCTGATTATAATCATATGCTCACTAGTGACTGACTTCAAGATACATGTCCTGGAGTTCTAGTGGGAAGCAGTGACCAGTGGAGTTCAACCACGTCTGTTGTGAGATAACAACTCACTGAAGGCAATTGGTCAAGTGTCACTCATAATTCGTGGATCAGTTGAAGTTAGACATTAACACCGTCAGATGCCGGCTCAGTGGTCTGTCGGTTAAGGGCTCTGGCTCGTAACTGGTAGGTCCTGGGTTCGAATCTCGCTCGCGAGAGCGGGTTCGTGGATGCGCACTGCTGAGGAGTCCCATAATAGGGCGAAACGGCCGTCCAATACTTCCAGGTTTTCCATGATCGTCTAGCTTCAATTGGCTTATGATTTCAACTTTAAAGTAATTTATATCGTTTGCTTTCCTCTTCTCCTCTTCTAAATCTACTTATGAATCTCCAATTATCATTTGAGATGTAGAGATTTTGTAAAGATTATTTTGAATTTGTAGGTGATATTCATCATCAAGAATTAACCTCAGTTACAGTACCATTGATGTTTAGCGATCATTGGACAGGCTTTACATTCTAGTATAAAACTTTCTAAAAGTACAGAACAATAATAACTCCACAGGATGAGTTCAGTGAGTTCCCGTCTCGTGATAAGCTAATGTATAATCTTTGGGTCACTGAGTTGACATTCAATCGTTTACAATCCCATTGTTCTTATGGAATTTGATGGGTGGAGTTCAACGATATCGGATATTAGTCAGTTTAAGAATTCATCTCTATGAAAAAAGTCATTAGGGTCAATCTGTGATTATATGATTGATAAGTACTGGTTAAAGAGTTCTATACCAGGATTAGTCAATAATATGGATAATCTTTAAAAAATGAAGTGTTTAATCCATAAATGCGATTAAATTCATTTAGTATTGTTTATTTGAATCTTCCCATTGATGTGTTAGGACTGCAACTGATCAGTCTCTAATTGGCATATGTGCATATTGTGTGTATTGCCTCGATATAGCCTTATTTCACAAGCATGGTAAGCAACGATGGATAGCGGCTAGCAGTGGAACCCAGGATGCGCGTTTCGTCCTATTTGGGACTCCTCAGTTGGATGTACCTGCATGTCTGAGTTGATGTTCACTCTGGGACTCGAACCCAGTACCATTCGTTTCAAACGTCATCGCGTTATCCACTCGGCCACTTGCACAAGTAAGTGGCTATCAGGACTCAGTGTCCGAGTGAATAACGCGATGACGTTTGAAGCGAATGGTACTGGGTTCGAGTCCCAGAGTGAACATCAACTCAGACATGCAGGTACATCCAACTGAGAAATCCCAAATAGGACAAAACGCGCATTCTAGGTTCCACTTTTAGCCACTATCCATCTTTGCTTACCATAAATGCGATTATTTTACTAATAGCAGTATACTATTTGAACAACAGATTTAACAATCACATTCCTGGACAATTTACCTGTGTTAATAAGAGAAAAACAATGTTCCATTTAAATAGATATATACAGATAGATGTATACATTGAACTTACTATATTTACAACCTGGAGTAGCACATAATACTTGTACATCAGAATGTAATAATTGTGGATCACTTTCATTAGAACAAACACAACATACATTTATTGGTACTGCACATGTATTAATAGTTTGTTCTTGTTTTTGATGATATTGTTGAAAATCAATAATAGAATGTACTAATTCACCTTTTGTATCTTCATTTATATTAGTTAAATAAGATAATGGATATGTTAGACGATTTGTTATACGTTGATCTTCTGACATTTCATATCATAATAATAAAACATTTAAATAAATTTTTCTCTTTGAGTTCAATCATGAACAACAATCTTGTTTATTTTTCTTGTAAAGGCAATTTGCCAACTATATTATAAATAATTTACATTTTTGATTCGTTCAATCTATACAATGTCATGATATTTATCTTCAAGAAAACTATAATAGGGAAGGGTTTGTTTTGTTTTACTTTTTAAAGTCAAAATAACTCTATGGAATATAAGTAGTATATATATATATAAATGGTTAATGCTTAAAATACTTCATTTCTTGATTACATTACTTAATTTTTATCATTTAAAGTACTCCAAAAAATTTGTCCGAATAAAGGTCATTCATATATATATATATATATATTTCAAAATTCAATTTTATATATTGTACTTTCTATGTAAATCACTTTAACCAATCAAAATTGAATCCAGAAAAATACAGATATATGATTGGTTAATTAAATAATGAATTCTATGTATAAAACAACCAATCAAAATTAAGTAAATACTAATTAAGAAATAGAAAGGTTATTCATTGTTCTTTCAAGATTACCTTAATTCATTTGTTTGGGATATAATTTCTTTTTTTCCCTATAATAAATTTAATTTTGAAAAATTTTGGGTCTAATTTTTTTTCTAATTTTTACTTTTACAGTTTGTATATGAATTAATGCATGCAAGTCCGCCCTGTTATTGTTCCTAGCCTCCGAATGCCTGGGTACAGTCGATAGTGGGGAGAGTCCATTCTCCCTATCCAAATCCTCTCACACGGCCACGCGAACATATAGCCTCTAGCAGGGAAGTCCTACTCACTGCCTTCTCACTGTGGCATTACTGTTGTTTACGAAATCGAGAGGATGAAAAGCGAATGTCTGGCGCTTTAACCGGATTGGTGGATGTGTAGTGTCCATCTAGGGGAGTTGGAAAACCCTGATTACAAATCAATGGTGCACATCGGCTCCAGTATCCTGAAGAAAAAATGGTGTATGAATCAATGGTTGGTCACCGGCTACCATGGGACTGCACCTCCTTACGATGCTCCACTGTCTTGTGGAATAGACCTTTAGGTCCACTAAGAAAATCCTCTAATTCGAATTGGGCAACTGAGCAGCATTCCAGCCCTCATACAAATCGAATGATTTATGTTGTGCATATCTATTTAGTGCCTTCTTGTACCAGTGTTTATGTGTTTAAATAACTAATAAATAAATAAGAAACTTCGTTACAGTCATTCCTTGAACCTAGATACTTAAACCATCTCACAGGAATCTATAAAGTAATATGTATATTAGTCAAATATTATTGACCAATAATAGACTTTAACGAGGTTTCGGAGACCACAAGGCATTTTGGCCACGAACATGGTATTCCGTATAACCGATAGGCCATACCTTTATAACATCTTCAGAAAGAAAACCAAAAATATCATTGTTTGTCAAAACACTTTTTACTTATATTTTATCTGAATAATTCGATAATAATTTGATAGTCAATACAAAAATATCATATTCGGGACTAGAAACAAACTATGATCAGCCTACTATCCAATTTGCCATAATTCAAATCGAAGAAATGAATGAATATATAACATAGTTGAAAGGATGAGTCAATTGAAGCTAGACCACTATGGAAAACCTGGAAACACTGGACGACCGTTTCGTCCTATTTTGGGACTCCTCAGCAGTGCGCATACACGAACCCGCGCCTGCGAGATTCGAACCAGGACCTACCAGTCTCGAGCCAGAGCCCTTAACCGATAGACCACTGAGCTGGCATCCAACGAGCGAGCGCGGGTTCGTGGAGTCCATGTTTTCAACTATGAAACATACTAAATCTCCACAAAACCCCTTCTGATAGTGTATATATAACAGATCCTTGGAACTGAACGATTGTTGTTACCAGTAAAATTGTAGGGAACAAGTAGAGAGTTACTCAATAATTAGCTGAAAATGATGGTAATCAAAGGATATACAGTACGTTTAGCTAGAGAAATTATGGACAACACATTCTATTCTATTTGTATTCCTTTATGACTAAACTCAACTGTTCAACCAGCAAACATTATCAACAGAGTAGTCGCTAATATCTGAATGTATTAGGTTCAGTCATACATCAGTATGTATGGTTCCATTTTTTCACGGGATTTTAACTGTTTCCCGAATACCTTACTTCTAACATCCCTAATTTTGATTCTAAGTGATTTGTGTTAGTTTCGAACAGGGAGTATCAATCCTCATATAGACTATGAGAGTTAACTAGCATGAAACCAGAGGTCAAGTAAGGCTTTCTGTTCATTAATTTTACCAATCATCTAACGTTAAATTAATCTAACAATCAGTATTCAGTGAAATACTAGTCACAAACAAAAGGCTTGTTGAATCTATCAGTGTAAAATGCAAAATTGATATAAACTTAACTTTATTATTTGCCCAAATATGTTTTCTTGCTCCAAAAGTTATCAAAAGTAGTGAAGACAGATGGAGAGAAACAATCTCATTACTTTTCATCATTATTTGCATAAAAGGCTTTAAGAACATGTTCAGTTTAAAGATAGTTTACATCATGAAATGATTGGAAACCATGAAGCACTAGACAGTATCTCCGTTCCAGTATAGAACTTTTAAATAGTGAACACTTATGAATTCATAAGAAAGGTCAGATTTTGTATAGAACTTAAAACAGTCCATGCTATAAATGATCATTATACTTAGGATAATCCAATCCGTTAATCCCCCGATTGACTAAAAATCACCTCTGAATAGGAGTTCAGCAAATAAAATATTTAATCTATGAAACAATTAACACTTATTTTATGTTTCAACTAAAAATACTAAAATGATTAAATTTGTTTAATCTTGTTAGCTTTTTATTATCAAGGTTGTCTTCTACGGGATGAAGTTGCCAACCCCATATCCAACCATCCTCCTTTACACGGATGTGAGAACCGAAGTAGCCGTAGAAGAGCTACAGTCGGAGAAAATCATCAAACTACATCATGAGATAAGTGTTAACTTGGAATCCTGAAAGGAAACGAAAAAGAGGAATTTCAAAAACACATTGAATTGAGAATTGGAATTAGATATGTAAAGAATCAATAAAAACTGGAAACAACTAGAAAGGATTACCCATGACAGAGTTGGATAGTGGTTGGCGGCATTTGCTCCTCCATAAAGAGTAACAGATGTAAAAAATAAAGGAATACTAACTAATGATGAGCCACTAAAACAAAGTTAAATTATTATTATTCTACTCTAAAACCAAATGTTTATCAAATTTAAATTATAGTATAAACATGCATTTGAAACTAATCAATGTCACAAAACAAGGTCAAGTTGAACATTGAAAAATAATGTTTCCATTCAATTAAATTATTCTATCTCATATATAGTTGAAATCATGAGTCAATTAAAGCTAGGCCACTATGGAAAATCTGGAAGCATTGGACGGTCGTTTCGTCCTATTGTGGGACTCCTCAGCAGTCATTTTGTTTTAACTCTTTTCATATTTAAAGATGAAAATAGTCTGTATTCATTATACTAATAATAGAAAAGTTAGATATAGTAAGAAATTGATATTTGATGGTAAACTTGAGTCTTAATACTAAAGTTTCAATAATTAAAAATTTTGTACTAATCACAATTACCCCTAAATGCCGTGGTACAGCTGGGAATGGAGAAATTCCGCTGTCTTTTTCGAAATGTGAATGTCTAGCTTGATAACTGGGTTGGTGGAGATGAAGGATCCACTTGGGGGAGTTAAAAAAAACCCTGACTTCAAAACAATGATGCATATTGGCTCCAGGATCCTGAAGGAACAAATTGAGTATGGACCTGTTGTTGGTCACCGGCTACCATATGACTGCATCTCTTCACGTTGCTCCATTGCCTTGTGGATTAGACCTCTATGTCAGAGGCTCGGGTTTAACCCCCTAAGAAAACTGCCTAATTCGGTTTGGGCACTTGTACAGTATCTCAGCCCTCACACAAATCGAGTGATTTATGTTGCGCATTTTTGTTCGTGTACATTGAACGTGATGTAAGTATCCTGATCAATCAAACTTAAAGACCATTGTGGAAAACATCTTTTTCGAGTTGAACTTGAAATGGTCTTTTTCTAGTTAAAAATTAATTCATGAGTGTATCAAAGAGCAACTGACTATCCACTTCTAGTGCTTCTTCTTGATTTCTACTTCCGCTGGAATCTGATTTGTTCTCTCCCACAGTAGACCATTGTTGCTGATAGTGTCTGGTCAACGGATCCGAAGTATTTTGTGTAGATAACTGTTAATAAACACCTGTATCTTCTGGATTTCGTAGTTCGCTAGGTTTCTGCCACATACAGTAGAACTGTCTTGACATTTGTATTGAAAATTCTGATCTTGGTGTTAGTTGACAGACAGTTGTTTTGAATCCCAGATGTTCTTCAATTGTAAATATTCTGCTCTTGCTTTGCCGATCCTCGCCCTCACATCTACATCAGATCCACCATGTTCATCAATGATGCTGTTCAGATATGTAAAGGTTTTTACGTCCTCCAAAGCTTCTCCGTGAAGTGTGATTCTATTGGTGCATGCTGTGTTGTATCGTAGAATCAACACACCATTGTTACAAAAGGCTTAATCAGAGATATTGTGGTTACTGGCAGGCAGTATGCAGCGAAAACAATGTACATTACTTAAATGTCGATTGACTAGACCGCTAACATCGAACTGGCTATCATTCAATATTTATCGCAAGGATCGATCAAGAAATAAGAAATGGAAACTTGATGAGATACTTTGTGCTGAGAATTCTATATTTTACCGAAAATATAATATTGAATAAAGCTATTAATAATAATAGATCCATATTTATTTATTTGAACACACAAATATTGGTACAATGGGGCATCAGATATATATGCGCTACACAAATCGCATTTGATTTCTGTGAGGGCTGTGATACTGTCCGGGTGTCCATACTGAAGCAAATGGTTTTCTTAAGGGACCACACCTGG